GAGCTAGCTATCTCGATCAAATGATATAACATGTGCAAATTGTCATCAATTTGAAAATCCTTCCATAATCTTTGAAGTCATCATGCTTCATTCTAGTTTTATCAGAAGTTATAATTTCTTTCAATTCACAAGTTGTTTGGAGGATTTCCACGAAATAACTACACTTAATAGTAATACAAATTTACTAATAGATCATGAATCCTTGTATTAGATATCCAATTTCAACATCATATGCATTTATGTCTAACAAGTTATTCACTATAGTATAAGTTATGATTTCAAATATTCTCAAATATCTCTATATTCTAATTTGGGAAAAAAAAAAGAAAAAAAAAAGAGCCACTCCCACAAATCTTGGGATATATCGAACTTAAATTGAGAATGTTATGCAAACAATAATCATACTCCAATAATTCTGGATAGGACTTTGCTTAACAACATAATATTCATATCTTTATATAAAATTCGATTATATTGTCCACTGAATAAACAATTTTATTCCATCTCTAGCCAATATATAAATTGACTAGGAATATTAATGTCTCACAAAAGATTATCTACTTCCATACACAAGAATATTGCAGTCCTGTTTAGTATCGTCGTTGACCTAACTTTAAGTCTTTAATTAGGCATACACATGTCCACATTCATCACATAGACCCAACTTAGATCACGAGTCGCTCTACGTTGTGATGGTCACAAAACAAGGCTCGTTGAAAGAACAATGCGTGCAAAATACACAATCATTCTACACTTCAGTAAGTCATGATTTGCTCATTATTATGCATGTACTATGGTTTCGGTAAGTCGTTACTGTATTCGTATTTGCATGCACATGCTTTTGTTAATAGAATATAATTCATTCACTAATTTATCAAACAATTTTGAGACAAATTTCTTCCCTTGCACTGTTGCTAATAGGATTAAATGGATGTCCATCTCCGAAGATACAATGCTTTTTCCAAATTTAATATAGCATAATATTAATTTTGTCAGGCGAACTAACGCTTGATTTTACTTTTCTAAAATTGAAGGTATCAAATACTAAATATCAAACACGAACCTCAGAAATAACATATAAATCATTTTGACAAAATTTGGAGAAAGAAAGAATTAGAAATCAATTATATAGGATTGATTTGGAGTGAAGAAAATGGAATTAGGAGGTCCTATTTATAGATTTTCACTTGTCTCTTTCTAACAGTCACATCTATTGGCAAAATTAACTTTAACCATTAGATCATTTCATATTTAATGGTGTAGATTGCACCTTGTCAAAAGGTCAAACCTATTTCGAAACAACTTAACTCTTTGATATGAACCATTTGCAATTGAAGAGTTGCGACTAGTCATATCACCAATTGGATACTTTTCCAATTCACACCTATAAATATCCCAAAAATTCAAACAGTAATTTCTTGTCGAATGAATTTCGAGTGTGAATTGTGTGATTTTTTAACAAAGAGGAAATGCAGTGTGTTTATATTTTGAAGGAAAATATAAGACGATTTTCTACACATTAAGGTAAGTAAAGAATATCAGAAACTTGGTCTTTCCGTATTTTCTATGTTGCTGCTGCACTATGTAATCAATGGTTAAATTACGAAGTTTTATATCTTTAGGTGACAAAAACATAATTTATGAAGGAATAGTTAATTCTCTTATCCACCTTCATAAATATTCCTTGTCATCATGTACTTTGCTACTTGATTCTTGAAATGTTCATAAAAATCCCCACTGGTTGACTTGGTGTAAGTATTAAATTGGAAATACTTCCATTTAAGTTTGAATTGATTTCGTGATTTTGTTTTAGGTCCCTGCCCAATACCATCCGAAACTTATTCTTGTTGATATATTGACAATATATAATTTAAATAAAAGTGTTCTATAATAAGTTAAACATTTTAGATAAGATGGTTTAACCATAGGGAGAAGTCATGAGTTCAAGTTCTCATGCTATTCAACTATAAAATTTATTTATGTGTAAGGCTTTGATCAATTAATTTCACTTGCACATGAAGAATTGGGAGTATTGAGTACATATTTTAAATAAATAATTTGGTTACTTCGATAGCAATTTAAACTTTTAGATGAGGTGATTCGACAATGCTTTTTTTGTCCACAAATTATAAATGGTACATATCTTGTTAGGTCAGGAAAAGGGGATGGGATCAAGAAGAGTTTCACTTTTGTCTCTGGCCGACTTGAGGGTTTGTCTTATTGGCATTGAAAATCTGCTGCAGAAGCACGTAGAAACATGGCTTTAAAGATAGTTTATTCGATGTTCCAAATAAGAATATCTTAGCCAAACTTAGAATATGTTTAGATTCAATTAATATTATTTTATTAAAATTTTGGGCATGCTCGCATTTAATTAAGTTAAATCAGTTTTCCAAAATTAGTAGCACTAGAGACCCTAAAAAATTTACTAACATGCAGTTACAAGTAAATAATCTCTACTGCTTGGTCGTGGACCTTAGGACCCATAACACAAACCTAGTTGCTGAAAGATTTTATGAACATGCAAGTACATGTTCCTATTCACCAAATACTTATTAATCATGTGTCAACTTCAATATAGAAATATGGTTGTACTCTATTATATGAAAACTGCACTGACTTAATATAGTTATTTTACTCTGTCCTTGACCTTTTAATTATTATGCATTGCCCTATAAACCTCCATCCATAATCTAAAGTAGAAAATATTAACTTCAATGATTACGTGTTGACATTCCAGTGTTTGTGTCAAAACCATTAGATTAATGATCGAATTATTATGTACATAGATTTCACGATCACATTCTTTAAACACTTTTAAGAGGATATTATGTCTGCCCATGAGATATGTTGGGTGATATATCAAGGATTCCATTGATATCTCAAAGCAACTAATTATATATTGGATTGCATTTAAAGGATAATAAATCTCGTTTGATTTTTCTTTTTGTTAACACATGTATTTCTTATTTTAGGACACATTCCTAACAAAATGATACATCTACTTACCATGAATTTATGAACAAAGACCCAAGTTGGATAGTTCCCATTTTCAAATACACACCCATCATCAACTAGGTAAGAGAAATAATAGTTTCATCCTATATTTTGTTGAAGTACTGTAAGAAAGGGATGCTAAGGCCCTATTTGTTTTCCATTAATGTAAGAATGAGAATGAAAAATATAACTGTTACAGACCCCACACAAAAGATAGAAATTCAAATATGATGGCTTAATGTGATGGATAATGGTTATATTTTTCATTTTAATGACCAAATAATGGGAAACAAAGAGGGGCTAAATTTATTTAAGTCAAGACCATATCAAGACATGCAAGATGCTTGGCCTGCTTGGCTGCTTGTCCCTGTATAAATCACCCAGTGGTCATTACATCTGGAAAGTACATGTACATGCGCTTGGCTCTTCCATTCCTCAATAAATTTTCTATAGCTTGATTGCCATTTCTTCTGGAACTGTGTGAAGCTTCCAATGCAATTTCCTAGATAGCTTGTGAGTAACATCTATAAGTGGATGTTTCACTTCAAGTTTGAATTGAACAAAAACACATTTGGAGACTGATGAGACTCTACACTGCAAAATTTTAATTGTAAGCAGCTGTGTTGTGTTCTTCCTTCCCTCTATAGAAAAGCCAAATATATGATTTTATCTTATTCTTAAATGTTTTCTTAATATATATTGGAGCGGATTTTCAAGTGCATTGATCTTTATTTTACAATAAGAACTTTACAAGTAATTTCTCATGCCTTGTCTAGTATATGTTTTTTCCTGAGTTCTCATGAATTCTTTGTTATTGCATGGTCTACTCAGCGGCGTACGTAAGGAATTTACACACCTATTTCCTGCAACCGAAAAATAACCAGATGCATTTTATTATCTAGTGTAAACATTAGTCTTAATTGGGCTTCTACAAGTCACACAACATGACAGGATTGAGGGTCCTCTCGTGGAGCTTTCTTATTTTTGTATTTGTAATAAACCCTTGTTTAATTTTGAAGCACTTAAAGAGTTAATAAATGCAAAAACTGCAAAGGTGCTTGGCCTACCTTTTAGTGCAAAGCACAGAATGTGAGGTAAGCACATTGAGGTGAAACACAGAATGTCTATAAATGCATAGATTTTGACAAATTCAGTAGATAACAATCTCCTAGATCAACCAAAGATAATTTTAGGAATTATATCATGCTAAAAATTGAATCCTATAAAAAATGATATTAAAATGTGTGGATCAGTTGAAGCATGCTTTCTTATTGCTTTAGTTTTTAGGTCTCGATCTCATATAAGCACACACTTCATTGCAGTCTGGCACCTCGAACAGAGAAAAGCTCAAGAAATGTGCCTAATCACATTGCGTCTTATTAAAATTCTAACAGCTAGTAAGAACTTAAAAAAATTAGGGTACTTTGAGTGGTCAATGCATTAAAAATTGTAAAGAAGGTTACTATTTTCTTCAACACGAACGATTTGTAAATTACTATTTTCTTGAAAATAAACGATTTGTAAAAGCTTAGCTATTATTCTTCACAGAAGAGACATATCAGAGTATGCAGGTAGATGTGACCTATGTCATCTGAGGCGATTACCATTCTCTGATAATTTGATGGTGTAGCTGAACATGCATTACACAAGTCTAGTTGGCCTCTGTCTGCCAGGCTGTCATCAGTGTCTGTGGAAGAACTGGAATAGGCTGCCCTCGATTCAGAATCATTTCCTGTTTATAAATGTGGACATAATTATTTGAATGCCTTTGTTGCCTACAATAGAAGCTGTGCCCACCTCATCACTCTATTTGGCCTGAACAAATAGCTGATAGCCAGAGTTGCATGAATTATTGCAGCAGTGAACTGATGTGTAACCTAAAATTTCTTGTGAGGATATAGTCTCTAAGTTATGTTCTTGTAGGATATCGATTTTTCCCTGCAAATGTGTTTCAGACATTGTTAAGCATATATAATATGATGTAGTCTCATTTTGTTATGCAGATTGAATATGATCCCAGGAGTATTAGTTTCAGACAACTATTGGAGGTATTCTGGACTAGTCATGACTCTAGGCAAGTATTTGGGCAAGGGCCCGATGTGGGGAATCAATACAGGTGCTGGTTATCTACTGTAGTTCTTGAATTAAAGTGCACGCATACTCAAAATGAAAGCTGAAATTCACGCTTACAAAGTCTATCATTTCACATGGATTAGGTCTATAATATTTACTAATGGAACTGAAGAGTATAGTTTGGCTGCACAGAGTAAAGAAAGGGAGCAAACAAGGTCAAAGATGAGTGTGGTGACAACACAAATTCAACAGCTGGGAACATTTTATCCTGCAGAGCCCGAACATCAGGTTTAGTATCCCTTATAACTTCATTGAAACATCTTACAACAATTATAGTCATGATTTTCAATGGATTGGTATTACTGTAAAAGAGATAAATGTTGGCTTTTTATGTGATGAAGTGATTCGTATATATCATATCAGAAGTTCTTCCTGCTCCTTATCTGAAAGCTTACTCTAAGCATGCTATTCATTAATGTGGCACTTGCCATATTATTTGGTATTCAGACTATGATGCATTTCTACTTGCAAGAACCAACCCAAACCAGCTGTTTTTGTGTGGCACTGGTTTCGAGAAAAAGACCCTCCCCCCGTCCCTACCCTCGAGGGTCAATTATCTTACTATACTTTAGGATAATGATGAACAAGTGACAAACTCTTTTATATTGATCTCCAGAAATTTGAGCTCAAACGGAATCCATTCCTTCTTCAGTTGATTGGTGGGAACTTGTCTGCAGAAGAGCTCGAGAGATCTAGCCTTGCAGCAAAACTTAATGGATATGCAGCTGAGCTTTGCCCACCAAGAATGCAAAGGCATATTGATGCTAAGATCAATGACATTTTAAGGAAAGGTTGGCCCATTCTAAGAGAGGTGTAATTTGACATTTTGCATGTTCAACTTTGATACAATATCCAATTCAGGCTCATTTTTGTGCATTAATTCACACCAATATCTGAAATCTCACAATAGCCTCCCCGTTGGCTTAATTGGCTGAAGATTGGCCCGTCTGAAACCGAGCTTTCTTGATGGGGTCATGGACGTGTTATTTCTTGTACAATATTCAAAATTGAACTGAAGCCGATGTCACTGGAACTTGTTTTCTGTCAAAAAATAACCCTTGGGAATTTCTTATGTACAATGTTAACTCTTTTGTTATGCAGTAATGCTGGGTTCATACCATGGATAAAATTTTAGCTTTTCTTTCTTCATTAATACTTTTCAATACGGATTTTAAAATTAATTACTATGAAATATTTTAATTTATCAGTTCAATATTTAAAATATGGGTTCAAGTGTTCCAAATTTATCAATAGATTCTATTCCCAATCAATCCGTTTACACGGAATGCTAATCGGTCACTTATTTGGCAAGGGGAACATTACATCTTTTGATATATCATATTTTTCAAATTACAATATATAAGATATGCAGATTGAACATGTATAACATGCGAGCTCCACGAAATTGTATCTCATACTAAGAAATTTAAAAAAAATAATAATAATAAAATTCAGGACCACCCAAGAAGACATTGTGATACATGACATAGCAGAAAGATCCTCAGAATTGCATTTATCAAAATTATACATAAAACCAAACGAAACATTAGTCCCAACTTGTACATTCACACGAGAATAAGAAGAAGAATATCTCCAACGACTTTCACATAGTATTAGTATCCCAAATCTGTCGCGTGCAGAGACATTAGCACAATTGTATAATGGAACGCTAAATCTTGGAAAATTATTGATTTCTTCCATTTTTCTAAATCAATCAAACAACTTAAATAGTTGGTGACTTGTGATATTTAAACACCACTTGTTAAGTCATATGAATATCAAACAATTTTGTTATTATTGAGCAATGAATGTAGATGAAATTTCGTTGGGATGCTAAATTTGGAACAATATATGGTTCAAGAATAAATTTAGAGAATGTATATCAATTTAAACATCGATACGATCTTGTTGAATAGTATTAGCACTAGCAACACATGATACTGTTGGCATATTATTTCCTATGAATGGCCTTTATATTTAGTTAACAATTGTTATATAAGCTATCTACTATTTAAGTAGGGAAAAAACCATATATACTCGTTAAAATAAAAACAATTCATTATCTACTAAAATAAGATTTATATTCTTTATTGAGTAATGTTATTCATAGTCGCTCATTGCGATAGCCGTTTTACGTGACATCCTACAAGACGATTTGTGATTTGATGTATAAATTTGGTAGTTTTTTCTTACTACATATATCAAATCATTTACTATCACATGCGTACCACGTAGGGCAACCGTGTTAATGAATGACTACAAATAGCATTATATTTTTCTTTATTTACTGACTCTCGTATAAAAAGACACCCATAATACTGTTGCTAAAACTTTTCCATTTTGTGATTATGTAATTGAAATTATAGAGACCTCACAACACGCTGGGCATTAAATAATAGTGCAATTGAATGGGGATTTCAAAACCAGTTTCTTTTGTATCCAAAGAATGTATAGTTTGTAATTATCCCTGCACCGTTCATCTGTGAGATAAAAAAATGTAAAATAACTTATTTTTCAATCATATTTTTAAAAAATTACATATGCAAAAATGTGGCAAAATATTTTTTTCCTCATTTTAATGCCCACGATATATATAAAGACACACACACACACTAATTGAAACAATCATCAAAGACAAGATTTATTAATTAATAGAATATTGAAGATAAAAATTAGATGAAAAAGTCATATAGACAAAAGTCTTACAATGAGCAAAGATTGAGGATTTTAAGTGATTAAATGTGGTGCTACCAATAAAATTTGTGGTATGAATATAGTTACACTTTGTGAATTGGAATAAAGTGCTCTCGTTTGGCCCCAAATTTTAATGTTTGGAATTTTTATTTTTTTTTTTTTTTTTTTTTTTTTTTTTTGAAGGAGGGCGGTACCTCCGTTAGTTTTATTTATATGCCCTCATGGAATATATGTACGTGTTCATAACATACAACACATCTATCTTTGGTCTACTCATGCCTTCTAGTTGCAAGTTTATGGACCTTTTTGCGATGATATCAACTGAATAAAGGATGTATGTGAGGATGGTTGGTCCAAAAATAAAGAATGAGGTAGGTGGAAACATGGCCTCGGTTAGGATTTCGAATGATAACTTCCTACTTTTCTACTTGTAGTAAGGACCCTCACATCACAATGTATGCACTACGTATAGATGTTACGATGTATATGCTATATGATGTAACATGCTTATGTGACTTGGAATGCTGCATTGATGTGATGTGATATATATGCCTTATGCTATAACATATTTACTCAATATTTTTCACATATAAAATTTTTTATTTGAATTGATACATATGCATTAGTTTGATGTATGTACTCAAATATAAAATGGATGCTGTAGAACCTGATACATATAACATATGTTATAGAACATTTTATATCTTCACGGAGTACTACATTGGGTGATGATTCGCATGGAAGAATGAATTCCATTTAAAAATGAATAGGTATTTTTTTCCCCAAGTATTTTGAAAATTTATAAATGTTACCAATGATTCGTATGTAATTTCAGGAAAATGATAGAATGATTGATAACTGAAGTTAACAAGAACAGGAACAAAATTTGGAAATTCATGTCTAATGGTATACAAAAAAAGAAAAAAAAAAGAAAAAAAATGATTTATGTGGACAAACCACCAGAAGTTTGTGATAATAGACCGATGCAACATATAGATAAATTAGAAAGTTTTCGAGTTTTCTATTACATTTCTCTCCAAAATATTCAAATTTTAGTGTAATTAGCACAAAAGATCCATCCCCACCAAGGTACCACCTATACATCCACATAGCACCACCTTCTGGCCATAACACCCGTCGGACTCCACCACCACCAGCCTCGTCTCACTCTTTCCAACATCCTTTTACCATAGTATTGGTCATCAATATATTCGAAACAACCACATTTACAGCCTAAAATACCAAACTGTCGTATACTACCCTTCACGGCAATCCCACTTTTAACGCCACCCACGGTTGAGCACTACCACCCACGGTTACCTCTTGCTTCGACGAACCTATACATGGCCTCACATCAATCAAAACTGTGTCAAAAATCATTTTGTTGTAATTCTATAACATTCAGTAGTGGCGACATCCATTCTGCCAAACTCTTCTCCTTCAATTCATGTATCCCATAATACCAAATCCCCAAATTAGCATCAATCGAACCATCAACAAACCTAAATGACAATGGGTATGAATCAAATTGAACAAATTATCCTCTTAATCGTTTCAATTTCTGGTAAAAAACTCTCTACCGGCACAATGTACGGCGATAGCTGTCTGACCAAAATTGATGGGTCCTAAGTGCTCCAATCTTTTAGATTCATGTGTGGGAGAACGTTAGGAGGGTAAGATGAGGTTGGTGGTGGTGGAGTACGGTGGCCGAAAGGTAGTGCTATGTGGATCTATAGGTGGTAGCTTGTGAAAGTGGTGGTGGTGGAGAATTTATGATTTCTTTATGATTTTTTAAAAACTTAAGAACTACGGTTGCAATTGGTAATTTATCTTTTCTTTTTATTTTATTTGAATAGAAGGTAAAATCGTCCTTTTTTTTTTTGACAAAATGGATGAAAATAACCTTTTGCGCAATGAAAGGTGAAAGGTAAAGGTAAAAATGTTAAAAAATGAAAGGTATGAACGTTTTGCACAATAAAATTGAAAGGTAGATACCTTTTATTCTAATTACCCAAATTTTACAACACACAAAATGTGCAACAACAGTGTAATAAATGATCTTTATATCACCCATTGAGGTTAATCACAATCCTAATGTAAGACTTTTATTCGTATATCTTCAATTGGTAGAAACAAGACTAGCATAGATAATGTATCTCGACATTTAATCGCATGTTGGCTACTTCAGTTCCACAAGAAGCATTTTATGGATAAACTGGTATTGAAGATGTATGTCACTAATGTCCACAAAATGACCAAAGCACAATGCCCTAGTATAAGTCCTCCTATCGAGATTCAGATTTGAGATTACGCTACCGTTTGGCCCCCATTAAATTAAATTTTATTTTTCTCTCTTCTATTTTCAATTACTAATCTTCATAAAATAATATTACACGTAAATCGAAAATTTTTCATTCTTTTTCAATAACTCAATTTAAAGAAAAAAAATGTTATTCCACTAATTTTAATTTGAAAAAATGGGGACCAAATGGGTGCTACATCATATCTATATAACACATTCATGCTTCCACTGAATTTGCTGCGAGCGTGAATGTAAAATTCCCATTCCTGTGCACAAACATTCGAAGAAATTAGTAAATATGTACTGGGAGATGCATATAGAGAAAAACATGTAATATGAAAACACACACCCGCGCGCACACACACACATATATGGCGGAGTTTTTTTTGTGAAAGAAAATATAGTCGTGGTGGTGTGTATGTATCTTCAAACAGGTATGCATATATATTACATTTCATTTTCCCAAGATTTTATCTGGGATCATAACCTATCTAATTGTTATCATTAACAGAGAGATTGGAGCCTTATGTGCAAGGATAGAAGTTAAAATGTTACACCTTTAGTGGACATAACACGTTTATTTTCTTAGTTCGTTTACCTGAAAACATTGAATATGGGATAGATACCATAGGTGGTGTATTAATGATTTCATAATACCAAGGAGGGACACTTTACATATACCTGAAGATGTGTTCAATTTTCCGATCAAAGGTTAAGAGATAGTTACCTCTCATATTTGCATGCAAGGAAACTTGACAGAGGAAAGTGAGAGTTCAAATCGAGGGTAGAATTGTTTAATAAAGCTAAAGTAAATAAAGTGTTCTTCACAACGATGATAAAAACTTGATTTCTTAGTTGTGCAAATGCACATATCGTGACAAATAATAAAGTGGATATTTAAATGAAATATTGTCACGTGGAGACTACTATTTACTATAATTTTTATTTTAACTTAACTTCAACCTAAACTCAAACAGTAACCAATTATCAATTCAAAATTGTGTGATATAACTAAAGTTGTACTAATTTCAAAGGAAGTAATGCACTTGTAAAGACTTTTGAGAAGATTTAGGAGATT